CCAAAATCATAAGACACATTTAAGACCAGAATTTTTTGCTTCACAAATAATGGCGACTTGAATCCCTGTAGCTAGCCTTGCATAAATATCTGGTGGATCTTTTCTGTAGAGAGAATACTTACCATATGGAAACGAAATTGAGCACAATTTCCCCCGAAACAAATTCCATAATGTAAATAGGACTCAATTTGTGCAAAATGAACTGATATTGTAATAGTAGTATCTAACTCTCTTGCAACAACTCTCACTGCATGACATCCTGCTTTCACATAAGTAGTCGACATGGGAATCAAATTTTAGATTTTCATCAATGAAGAGCTCTAAACATTTGTTTTTCTCCAAAATTTCAATTTTTACATTTTCTCTATATTACTTCCCCTATATTACATCACACATGAATGTGACCACATTTGTTTTATCGGTGTTAAATGATAAAAAATTGTAATCACACCACTCTTTCACCTTCTTATGTCGACGATGATAGACGAGATAGTGGTGTCGTCAGCGAAACATGTGTAACAATTGTGTGAAAAACTTTTTCAATGGAGTGCAATGATGGAGTGAAAATTTTTAAGTTTGAAGATTTTCGAGAATCGCTGTGGTTTGTGGCTCATTCGAATAGACCTGCGATTCAAGAAAACCCCACAAAAAAAGTCTAATGGGGTCAAATCGCGCGAAATCAGTGGCCAGTTCACATCATCTCCACGGTCGTGCAGAATATTCAATGTAACATGTGATGTGTGGCACGTAGCGCCGTTCGGTTGAAACCACACGTCGTAGGTGTCCAGAACACCCAAATCAGGCGTAAAAGAGTTGGTGATCATTGGCTTGTAGTACGCGCTGTTGACAGTGATGGTATGCCCAACGTCGTTCTCAGCCCAGTCGTTTCTGTAACAAATGAGAAAACCATTGGGGAGCTACTCGTTATTAGTTGATCTCGAAATAAAATTCTGTCAGTGTTCAAGAAATTTATTATTTAAGCAAGTATTTTAGTGTATTATTTTTCATACGAATGGAATATTTTTTGTACCTTGTACCTCAATCAATAATTGATTTGAGAATGATATATTCTTTGAAATTGTGTGAATTTTAATCCACCAAGAGATTAGATTTTACATTTACCGACCCTTGAGGCATACCAAATATTCTCGGGCTTAATGAACAGATACTTCCTGATGACTTGATAGTGTGTCGTAGTGTGATTTTGCTTTCTCTTCATGAGGTTGCTCATACTCTCTTTCTCAATTATCACTGTCAGAGATATTATATTTTCAATTATTTTTGAAACTTAATTCAGTAAAACACAGGTTATGTATACTGTAGTGAACACAACTGTATAACTATAGGTATCTAAGCTCAATGTAGAGATGAGGAATAATGGGAAGAGAATCGCACAGTCGCTTGCGCATGGCGACCCGGGCTAGCAGTTGATTTCACGTGCGACTGTAGATATTTCACACCAAATGTCTGTTGAGGTTTATTATGTCAGATCAAAGAATAACATGGAATGTTCGAAATAAATACAACATTTTTACTTTTAACCGACTCAATTATGTACGCCTATGTAACAGGCGCTTGAAAATGATTCATTACTCCGCTGTTCAAGGAAATAGACTTCAGTTACTGAACAGTATATGTGATAATTAAAACTTTTCGTTATATATTTTCAGTATCACATAATGAATATTTGAATCATTGTTATTATCATTTATGTTATCAGGTGGCGAACATTTCAACAAATTCGCAAAAAACACATCTCACAAACAAACCGAAAACAAAACCATAGCGGTATATCAGCCACTCCATCATCAAGTACATCGTACTAATTGAATTGATACAAGAGGAGCCGCCGCAACACACAAAATCAACCCTTCCGCGTGACACATGGCGGCTGTAACATCGGTCCATGTTCATGCAAATAGACTCGATTTCGTTCGCATAAATTTGTCGAAAATTCCAGCCTAGTTTGCCATGGCGCATAAAAACATATGCTTCGAACTTCAGCATCATTACGTTTTTGAATTTTGTCGAACAAGATTGAACCGCCTCGGGTTATTATCACACACTAGGGATACATTTTTATTTTTCATCAAACTGGTGTAGTCGTGGTGAGACTGGAGGATATATCAATTTCATGGTAATAATGATAATGATAATAATAATAGACTAAGGTAGATAAAGATATTGAAGACACCATCCTGGTAGGCCATGATGAATCCCTCAGTTTCCGGCTTCAGCCCACTAGACCTGAGGAAAGCGAAAGTCAGGCGCTTTAATAAGACAAGGTCTTCAATGTTATTGAATAAGACCCCATGCATTGGCTTATCCTTGTCTTACCGCAGAAGGTGAGGTGATGACAGAGTTGTGATCACCTCGTTCAGTGTCTGAAATTGAACCGAGTTCATCTGCTGCTCGAGCAGCTGCTCTTCAGAGAAATGCTCCAATTCCTGTTCTCTCATGGTCACGGACCGTGCAGAGAAGTAGATTCGAACTCCTGACGACTTTACTGGTTCCATCCAGTACCATTCTGTCATGTAGACACTCCAAACTCAAAAGTCCACGGCCTTTCTGTTGTTGAATATAATACAAAATCACGGTATGGAAAAACAAGATCTGGGAAATCGAAACCTTTATGATAGCCTGAGGAAACTATTATAATGTTAGATTACTGCCTCATTGAGATTAGAGCTTTGAGTTATTTTTCTGAGTTTTTGAAAGATAACTGGAATCTACAGATGAGCCGTTACGATTTAGCTGGCATACAGGATGTATCATAAGAACGTTAAAATATACAAGTGACGTGATCCACCACATACTCAGTTTTTGTAATGTTCTCAGCAATTTCACTCAGCGCCCTAGGAGCTAAGTAATCTGCATCGATATGGAAAACTGTAAATATTTCGAAAATGATCACATCCAGCGTTGTTGAGGATTCGTACCTTTTCAACTTGGAGAAGGTGTGAAAATCAGGTTTTTTCATTTAAAGTACCGAAAGTTTACTGTCAAAAAAGTTAGAGCAATTTGAAATAAATAATGACAGCGCCCTCTAGATGTAACATGTAAATCAATATTAAATCATGATTTCCCACGTGAGAAAAACTCGGGATACTATACTATTTCCTGAGGAAAACTATGAATCGGAAATACCTTTCTGAAGGCATTATCGCTAAGTGGGATGATGTGAATGGTACCATCTGTACATCGAGGTATTTGTAATACACATCAACAATAATTAGGAGATGATATCCTTGCCATTTCAGTAATGTATCGGCTACTCATTTCTCCCAATGAATAAAAAAAATCGTCGTTACTTCAATCCAATCATTTTTCACAGTTTCATAAAAAATTAGATAGATTCGAATATAGATCAATCAGTTATACCAATTTTTTTATTATTGCTGATAATTTCTCAACTCTTGACAACTTCCATTTGAGGCATATTTTGCCATCTCAAATCTATATGGTACACATCAGGGATTCCCAACAATATTTTTCCAAGGACCCCCTCACACATTTGACATAACGGCAAGGACCCCTAATAATTCATAAACCTAAAGTTGAAATATTCTAGTCCCCCCTTCAATAAGCTAACCTTGATAACTTGCCATATCACATTACCAAGTACCTAAAAAAAACCAAATTAAGAGTTTTCATTTCTTTATTGGTTTAGGTTGAGATTTTAGAAAAAAAGATTGAGCCTAAATTTTTTTGTTGAATGTTGTCTTTATTGTTATACATTTTTCAAAAACTGTTGAAGATTTTTCCTAATGAGATAAGTTGAATCTGAAATGTTTGGTTCCAGACTTGACACTTTCACTCTGAAATCCGACCGCATGTCGAGCCGATTCCTGTACTTGTTTTTCATGAAGTACATGAAAGAAAATGCTTGTTCACACCGATACGTAGTTGCAAACGGAAGTATCTTTTTCATTACCTTATCTCCAAGCTTTTTGTAGTCCTTGCGAGCTTTTGCCCAGAAGTCTGCAAATTGTTCACTATTAAAAATGCTTTTTATCGTACCACAGCTAGACATATCTACAAGTTGGTCTTGTTCTTCTTGGATTCTATCTATTTCTTGGCAGCTAAAGGGATTTCGAATCCAACTATCGCCAGGATCAGGTCCAGGGAAATATTCCCCAAAAGTGGAGGCCAGTCTGCGTAGATGCTCACCTACAAAACTCTTTATCTGTTCAGGACGATTCACCTCTGAAGACCCCAGAAATTGTTTTAAAGTGGGAAAGTTAGTAAATGATTCATTTTCAATCCGAGTCGCCCAGATCTGGCACTGTTTGACCATAACACTAATCTTGTCTTCAACTTTGAACATGTCTACATTGTGTTTAACACATTCAAGTGTTCAAACACATCAGGTAAGTAGGCAGTTGAGCAAAGCCAAGAAGAGTCTTGGTGTCAAGAAGGAACACACGAATCTCATTCTAAGCTCACAAAACCTCGTCAAGATCCTACCTCGTGAGAGCCATCTTATGGTGGCCATATACGCTACGAGAAATCGTGACGATCAGACTGTACAGTTCGAACGGTACCGATAAATCGCTACATGTATGTGATAAAACTGTGCAGTTTCGCACGATTTTTTGAGACTGTACAGTCGAACGGAACAATACAAAAATTTCAATTGATTTATCGGAATCGGACGAACTGTGCCGACTGATCGAAATGTGTATGCGCTCGTTCCGTTTTCGTGTTCAGTTTTGTCGTCGATCGACATTCGGGTAGACGTGCGNCTTGGCATATTTGATTCCACCAAGAGCGGTACGTACATGGAATATTTTGCAAGCGAAGACAGCGTTCCGTGGCAAAATAATTTTATACGTAAATTTTGAGAATAAACGATTTGATAAAAAAGTTATGTACTTTTATTTATTATTTATTCATGTAATAATATAAATAACTATGGAGCATTCTCAATATGGCCGGATTTATATGGCCTCTGACTACCCCTCTGGGAGACAGGCGTGACGCATATGTATGTAACTTACCTCGTTGTCTGTTGATTCGTCGTCCATATTAGAGCGTGAACGTCTTGGTTCTTCTTGGTCATCCAAAAACAGCAACATAGAGTAATACCATAGTTTTGGTTTATACACGTCTTGGGTTCCTGCTCCTGATTGTTTTGAATCAGCGATCTTCTTACGCTCTTTTTTGTAAGTAGAGCGAATGTTCTTTATTTTTTTTACAACAGCATCTTTGTCAGCCATAGGGTCTACTGTTTTCAATTTTTCAACCAGCTTAGTATATGCTGAACGTTTTAAGTCACGGTTGTGATACTCTTTGCCTTTAATATTCCAGAGACAAGGTTCACTGCGATATAACTAAATAAATTCTTCAAGCCATTCTCGATTGGTTTGAGACGCCATGTCGCGTGCGCACGTCTACCCGAATGTCGATCGACGACAAAACTGAACACGAAAACGGAACGAGCGCATACACGTTTCGATCAGTCGGCACAGTTCGTCCGATTCCGATAAATCAATTGAAATTTTTGTATTGTTCCGTTCGACTGTACAGTCTCAAAAAATCGTGCGAAACTGCACAGTTTTATCACATACATGTAGCGATTTATCGGTACCGTTCGAACTGTACAGTCTGATCGTAACGATTTCTCGTAGCGTATATGGCCACCATTACTTCCATATCTTCTGTTGTTGTGTGAAGTAGTTCGCACGAAGAAAGAAAATCTTCGAATATCTGGTCCTCACACAAATATCGTGTGAAAACCAACATTATTGCTTTTTTGATATATCTGTACTTTCATCCAATTGCAGAGCGTACATATCACATGTCTTAAGTCTGACCAGCAATGTTTCTTCAATGTTACTTGCCATATCAGTAATTCGTCTGTATTCCTACAGAAAAACTATTCGCCCATCTAGTGACGGCACTAGAGTGCTCTAGGTGCGCTAGCGTTAGTTGCTGGACAATGCCATACGAAAGTTATCATTCGCTTAGTGCTCAGAAAGTTGCAAAAACTCAAAATCTATTACTGAGCCAGTGTACCATATATGTGTATTTTTATAAATTCTAATGATATTTTGCGGACCTCCAGGGGTCCGCGGACCACCTGTTGGGAACCACTGCTATACATGGTATCATACCCTCTAAGGTTAACACCAACGATGGAAATACTTCGATAAATCGCCTTCGTTGATGCAAAATAATGCTCACAATTGCCTTGAATAATTTTTGATATATGTCTTCTGCTTGTCCATATCTTCAGATTATAGCCTCGATCGTGTGCAGGGGTTGTTATTATTCGCTTCAATAGGCCTCGAGAGGGGATCCGGAGAACGAATTAATCGCCAAGAGTATAATAAGGGCATGCTTGAGAATCTTATACATCCTCGGAAGTCCCCCTGCTATCAACTTACGATCCTTCAGCTATAGTCCAATCAATAAAAGTAAAATATGCCGATACTGTGTTCAGCCAAACAGCCTCGATTTGCTCAAAATTTGGATTCAGATTCCAGATGACCCTGTACAGAGGGTTGCTTTTATCCTGGGGGTTGATGCTCACTTTTCNCAGAAATTGTTTTAAAGTGGGAAAGTTAGTAAATGATTAATTTTTAATTCGAGTCGCCCAGATCTGGCACTTTTTGACCATAGCACTAATCTTGTCTTCAACTTTGAACATGTTTACATTGTGCCCTTGTAAACTCAAGTTTAACACATTCAAATGTTCAAACACATCAGCTAAGTAGGCAGTTGAGCAAAGCCAAGAAAAGTCTTGGTGTCAAGAAAGGAACACACGAATCTCATCTCTAAGCTCACAAAACCTCGTCAAGATCCTACCTCGTGAGAGCCATCTTATGGTGGCCATATACGCTACGAGAAATCGTGACGATCAGACTGTACAGTTCGAACGGTGCAGTTTATCGTAGCTGGCATACAAGCTATACACGCTACAAGAAATCGTTGCGATCAGACGGTACAATAAGCGGCGCCGACGCATACGTGTCAGTGATGGCTTCGACGGACGACGGTTTAGCAATTATTGGATTACTATTCGCCCTGAAGGAAAAAAAAGTGAAGCGGAAAAATCGTAGCATCTGGTGTAAAGAATGGCTAATGAAAAGAAGAGTTCATTCTCATGTGAATTTGTTGGCGGAATTAAAGCTTTTTCCAAAAGACTGGCATAATTTCCTAAGAATGGATCACGATACGTACTTACATCTACTGAATTTGGTAGCACCAATTATCGAGAAGCAAGACACTACTATGAGAAATGCTATTCCATCCCACGAGAGGCTTGTAGCTACTTTGAGGTTTTTATCAACAGGAAGAAATTGAAGATTTGAAATTCTCTAGCATCATTTCATCTCAAGCCTTGGGTCGCATAATACCGGAAACCTGTGAAGCAATATATAAGGTTCTCCGCAAAGACTATTTTAAGGTAAGAAATAAAAAACTACTATTACTTGGAATGTAATGTTTATTAAGTTGTACTTGTAATGAAGGTTTAACATTAAGTAAAATTAGACAAAAAAGTAGCCGCTGTATTTTGCATTTGTTGGGACTGATCTTGTTGAGAAGTTGGCAGTATTGGGGTGTTTGGTAATCATAATTTGAATTCTGATAAGGTACGGGGCTAGGATTGTTTCCAACAGGGCTGGGAGTATGTGCAACGGGGCTGGAAACGTTGTAACCATAATTATTAAAACGCACACTGGTTGAATCCATCACTTGGTGTGAAATATTCAAATTTTCCATCTCTGCCAGAAATAATGTTTCATTAATTATTTTTTCGGCCAAAATACGTTGATGTTTTGTAAGGTCTCTCAGCTTAGCTGCGACGTTTCCTCCATAAATATCAAATCGATCATTAGTTGCAGGCCTTTTGAAATGGTTTTGAACAGACTGTAAAACTTCAGTAGTTAGGTTGTCATTTGCATTCCTTTTTGGCCGACTCCTATTAAACAACGTGTTTGTAATTGAACGAGTATCGGGAGATGACTGTGAAGTTGTTTGTGTGGCTGGAGGTGACTGTGGAGTTGACTGCGTGGCTGGAGGTGACTGTGGAGTTGACTGGGCGGCTGGAGATGCTTCACTTTCAATTTCCTGAAACAATTAATATTTTTACAGTTCCCACGCTCGGAAGCAGAATGGAAGGATGTGGCCGAAGTGTTCGAAAAGAGATGGAACTTTCCGCACTGTCTAGGCGCGATGGATGGAAAGCATATAGCAATTTTTCTTCCTGATGGATGTGGCTCAGAGTATTTCAACTATAAAAACCATCATAGCATGGTGTTATTGACAATCGTTGATGGAAATTATCGATTTCTTTTATGTGATTTTGGAACAAATGGAAGAATTTCAGATGGTGGCGTACTCACAAACACTAAGTTTTTTGAAAAACTTGATAATAATCAGTTGTGTCTTCCAACCGACACAGTTGTCGCACATAGCACTAGGAAGTTGCCTTATGTGTTTGTGGCTGACGATGCGTTTTCACTCAGAACAGATTTAATTAAGCCATTTAGACAAGCAGACTTCACCACAAATAAAACCAAAATTCTAAATTACCGCGTATCACGAACAAGGCGCATTGTCGAAAATGCGTTTGGGATATTGGCATCTCGATTTAGAATTTTTCACACAAAAATTAGTATTGATCCGAAAAGAATAGAGTCTGTCGTGATGGCCAGTTGTGCTTTACATAATTATTTAATGAAGACTTCAGGAAGTTCTTACTGTCAACAAGAATGCTTCGACGTAGAAAATGTTGATGACGGGTCAATAACCCAAGGATATGATACACTGAATTCAGCGATAGTTAATTTGCAACGAAGAAATCTTGGTAATACTTCGATTGCCGCAAAAAAAGTCAGAGAAGAGTACATGGAATATTTTGTAAGCGAAGGCAGCGTTCCGTGGCAAAATAATTTTATACGTTAACTTTGAGAATAAACGATTTGATAAAAAAGTTATGTACTTTTATTTATTATTTATTCATGTAATAATATAAATAACTATGGAGCATTCTCAATATGGCCGGATTTATATGGCCTCTGCCTACCCCTCTGGGAGACAGGCGTGACGCATATGTATGTATGTATTATGTAACTTACCTCGTTGTCTGTTGATTCGTCGTCCATATTAGAGCGTGAACGTCTTGGTTTTTCTTGGTCATCCAAAAACAGCAACATAGAGTAATACCATAGTTTTGGTTTATACACGTCTTGGGTTCCTGCTCCTGATTTTTTTGAATCAGCGATCTTCTTACGCTCTTTTTTGTAAGTAGAGCGAATGTTGTTTATTTTTTTTTACAACAGCATCTTTGTCAGCCCTAGGGTCTACTGTTTTCAATTTTTCAACCAGCTTAGTATATGCTGAACGTTTTAAGTCACGAGTGTGATACTCTTTGCCTTTAATATTCCAGAGACAAGGGTTACTGCGATATAACTCAATAAATTCTTCAAGCCATTCTCGATTAGTTTGAGACTCCATGTCGCGTGCGCACGTCTACCCGAATGTCGATCGACGACAAAACTGAACACGAAAACGGAACAAGCGCATACACATTTCGATCAGTCGGCACAGTTCGTCCGATTCCGATAAATCAATTGAAATTTTTGTATTGTTCCGTTCGACTGTACAGTCTCAAAAAATCGTGCGAAACTGCACAGTTTTATCACATACATGTAGCGATTTATCGGTACCGTTCGAACTGTACAGTCTGATCGTAACGATTTCTCGTAGCGTATATGGCCACCATTACTCTAATGGATGTAGCAACAATCTGATGGAGTTTTCTGATTGATTCGGTCGTTACTTGATGAAGATCCATAATAATGAATGACTAACTAGATTTGAATATATCATCATTATTGAACTTGTTTTCTTAAAAACCGAGAAAGAATTATTATTGATGTAGATGTGAGGTAATATGCTTCGGGTGATCATAATTGAACAGGTACCTAGCTTAGGTAGAGGTTTAGGTAATTTTTTGGAGGTAGTCTCAATAATGGTTACCTGTAGTATATAAATATCAATGTAAGAACAACTTGAAGTATTTGATCACTTGAAAAAGCTACTGTGCTAGCGAAACATGTGATATATTTTTGAAAAAAATCTGATGGAGGTTTTGGCCGATCATTTATATTTCTATATACATAACTGGCAGAAACTATTCAAAAATCCAAGAACAGCTTCATCATCAACTAGCGACCCGCACCGGCTCCGCACGGGTCCGATGCTGATACTGAGTATACATTCACCAACTGAAAGTTTAAGGGCCTGGAGAAACAGTGATGGAAAAATAATAACGAGAAACAGTGATGAAAAGGTAATTTTTATATGTAAATGCTCCCCTTTTACCCACACGAGGGGCACCCTAGTAGAAATATTTGAAAATTCATTCTTATTGCGCATCTACGACCGAAGAAGTACCTATATATCAAATTTTAGCTTCCTAGAACTTGCCAGTAGGGAGAAACAGAGACGAATTAGTGACTTTCGCATGCATAATCCAACACATTTTTCCAATTTTATTCAAAATGGTTGCGTTTCCATGATGTCCAATTTTTTGTAGTAGTGCCAATGAAGTAGTTTGTTATATGTTTTAGGTGGATTCCTCGCAGTTTCTTCCAGAATTGTTCGAACAAAGACTGTTTCCAAGCATCAAAAAATCGTTTTCCATAATAGTATTGTGCTGTTTTAATAATTCGGTTGAATGACCAATAATACCATGTTAACACTTTGCTATTTTCAATGAATAATTAATCCCCTGTTGGAAATAATAGTTTCGGATCCATCATCCTAGTAACTCCATAATTACTCCTATCAGAACCTCGTTCTGACTTCCAGATCTTAGTCTTTGCATAGCTTCTTTTGAATAATTTGAAGAGCTTCTTCGACAAGAACATTGGTGTACGGACCAACTACATCGAAACTACTTAATTTATCTCTATCTCTCTCTGTGACTTCGATTGTCTTCAATAACCCTATAGAAGTCTTTGAATTCGTCACGAAACATGATATTTTTCCTTGTAGCGTTTGAATTATTGGTATTAGGAAGCTATATAAGTCGTGAGTGTGGGTGGCTGAATCTCCACAACTAATGATTGGTCTTGGCAGAGCATCCTTCGTGTGGATTTAACCAGCTCTCGTCTCCTCAGTACGATCGTCAATAAGTTGAAACTTGTATGAGCTGAAGATCAACAAATTATTACCTTTCAATGTGCGATTCCTAGCAGGGGTCGGACGATACGCTGTGAAAATCGATCGTCCTGCCATAGGGCTCGATCTACCATTTCACATAACGACTGATTGAATGAGTAAAATAAACTACCCACGCCCACCCAATCTGCTACCGTCCCACTAAGAATAAGGAGCATTGTTGTTTTTTGTTTTTGTTAGAGGAAACGATATGCTATCTGCTCTATTATCAGGTCTGGATCCACATTTTAGATCATTATGACCTGAAATGACTAATATAAATAACTGAGATTCCATCATGATACTGCTAGGATATTATTGTAATATTATATCGATCAGATCATGTGAGGAGAAATTGCAACAAATGATTTGCGCAAATAAATTATTTGATTTCAGTGTCGGCAAAGAAGTTTGAAGTTTTTGGCGTTCTAGTCTGAATATATAGGATCCTTTCACATGCTAAAATTTTTAATTTCTACCATCACTAATGAATATTACTGGAGTTTTTTCCCAACACGTGTTTCGATCACCAAGTGATCATCTTCAAGAGAAATATCAAACTAATCATACTTACGAAGTTATTCTTATTTATACCATAGATACTTCTTCTAGGTACCTGTTCCTTAAGTGTCTTGAATTAATATCACAATATTGTCCTATCTACTAATCTTAAATTCATTTTACAATGTGTTCTTATGTAATAGTCAGGTAAATCTAATAATTAAAATATGATTTCAATAAGCTACATAGTATACTATTAGGTATTGGTCCACCATCGTTATTCATAATATTATTATGTTTACTTATTTATATACTCTTATAGACATATAGATGCATATTGTTGTTAACTTGTCTAACTAATCTTAATGAACTGAAGTCTATGGAATGGTTTTGTTGCAAAATATGATGGGCTACTGCTGATTTTTAAGATCTTCCATAGTTTTAGTGTGCTAAGTGTTCCTTATATCTTCTTTTAATAGATCCTTTTGTCTTGTCTTTTTGTTTTGTCTTTTGCATCCCAGTCCTTACATTCAATTTCGTGAATTATAGACTTTTCCGAATTCTCGACTTTGTCTTTTGGACTTTCTAAAAGGCTCTGTAGTGTATGACCTGTTTTAAAAACCACCTTCATACCTAGTTCCTTGAAAATATTTCCAAAGTTCCCCGTATATTGGTGGTATGGAACTGAGATACATTCATCTTGGTTTTTGTCGTTTTTAAAAGTCGTGATTTCGTTCATTCAGAACCTAAATTTCTTCTTCCTCATTATGTCTCCTATAATACCCTCGAAAAATCGTTAGTGGCTGCTATTTCCTAATATTACTTCAGGACATGCCTGGACATGCCAGGATAAGAATATACCCGATATAACTCGACAGTGACAACAGTCTTGTATCTTCAGCTTGCTGAGCTAGACACGTGAAAGACTACTATTATATGTTACCGAGTGTAGACCTGCTGGAGGTACTCTTGGAGACTTGAGTCACTTCGTTGCGTTCCGTCTTAAGCGTAGTGAGCTGGACGAAGGCGTCTACTAGTGGCTCTGGCACCGAGTTGGCCCTAAATGAACCGGCGACCCTCTGGCTTGGCAATTGCAGTTGTTTGCAGGCGTTTTTGAAACTTGAGGCTCCGTGAAGGGAGTGCAAAACCACCCATTTGTTGTCGGTTCGACCGTCCTGAAAAATCATACTTTATCAGGCAGCTTACACACTGATGCGAGGCAACTCACATAACTGACTCGTACAATTAATTGCATGACATTGATGTTTTCATATTGTTGTACAATCGATGCAACTATAATCGATTCGAAACGGAGTCATCAGACTCCATGACCCGGTTAAATTTAAATCTATGAATAGGATAGGTCCAACCAATTGACCTGCTCACTCCTGCCATACATCGTTCATTCTGCTTGAAAATAAAGAAAATTATGACAATACATACAAAAACGAATGCAACTGATCGCGGTGTCATCGACATGTCCAGTCGCATACAACCAGTCGTATGGTTGCATCAGTCGGATTGGGCAAATGGGAATGCTTCTACGAAATCCGATGGGTCAGACTGATGCAACTAGTCGCTTGAGTCGGTCATGTCAGTTGCGTTGCATCACTGTGTAAGCTGTCTTAGAAGTCAGCCGAGTCTACGTCGAGACAATCAATGTTATGAGAACCGACTTCTCTCCTGGTTCTTTCCGGAACTTGACTTAAATACTTGATATAAACTTTTTTCTCCGATGTCTATGTGAATAGTTCCCGAGAGTAAAGTTTTATTTTGTATCACCTGAGTGCCATTCTACTTGTTGAACCCTGGACATATTTTCTCCAATCGAGCTACCTGAATGAAGAAAAGCAACGTGTAGGGAAATCATCCTACAATGTGAAATGCTTCTTGCCATATTCCCACAATGTGCCATTCACCGTGAATCAGCCGGTATATATAATTATATAACGGGATTGGTTATTAATACTCGTAGATCCAGATGTACTCGTGGGACACAATCTGAACAGTATATGCCTGAATGAGTACATATTTCGTGAATTCAATCATGACAATTCAGACATTGCAACCAATCACGTTTGTGACCATTTTTGTCAAAATGAAATCCATCACTTTGGGCACAAATTTCTGATTCATCACGTCCCAATTTTGAATCCATGCTCTCCACTGTAGGCACTTTCGATTCACTTTCTAATGAACTGGAATCATCTTATTTTCTTTCTTTTTCATGCTTACGTTTTAGCTTTGCTGTTTCATTCTCCCTTTTTTGTTTCGTTTTTCTGCAATTATTTATGGAGATTTAGGTAGTTCAGCAGGCTGTTTTTATTTCTGTCATTCACTTGAATAAGGTTTAACTGTAATAAGCACAATCGCTTCAAATAGCGGACAAATGGTCGTGAAAATTACTGCAACATCATCGATAATGTTAGAGAAGGATGATGACATCTCCCCTTACGAAGATGCCATCTATGGGTTTGACAGAGATTTCGATCTTCGAGTATCAAAGATAAACGAGGCTCCCCAAGGCGGTCAGATGCATCGACCGTCGACGAGATTCGTTCTTCTTTCACTCAGCTTTCACTGCAAGACTGAAAACCAGAGCCCAAACCCAACGCATTCACAGACAGTGCGGTTTCGACCTCCCATGGTCTCATTAGTGGTATGCTGAACCATAAATGCATTGTTAGATCGACTGTCTTTAAAGGATAAGCTTGAGTGAAAAAAGGATGACATTTCTCCAAACTGAATGGGAAAAAGTGATTCTCGTGTA